ATTGCTGGTGAGTTTATTAAATGTATTTATTTGGTGCTTTGAGAACCACAAGCTGAGTGCCATCTAGTTCCATTATAGTCAGAGGAAATCAGACATCTCTGTGGGTGATATCTCCAACACTTGGCAACTCACATCAAAACAATCAAGACTGATAAACAGAACTCCAGGTAAAAGGAAAAATATATATTTTTCATTTTTGGGAGAACTGTCCCTTTAAATCATAAAATAGTCGAAGTAGATGGGTTTGAAAATTAATTAAAAATGTGCATAATGTCGCAAAGCCTGCAGACTGTATTTTAAATCAAATCAAGGGCAATAGGAACAGTTACGAAATATATATAATTGTACTTGATTTATAATTACTGCCTTTGCTGTGGGGCAGTCTAAAAAAGCAGATTTTGGCAGCCTTCACACTGGTGCCAAAACATCCTAAAGGTCTTCTTTACATCCTCTCCACTTCCTGTGTAGCTTGTACTTCCAGTGTTTTACTGCTTGCTAGTGTGAGAAATATATCTGTGCTTTTATTGGCAGGTTAAGACAAGCTTTGCAATAATGAGCGTTAGGTTTCCTTTGAAAGCAGCTCAAATTAGCTGGGAAAGAGAGGGATGAAAATTGCTAAATGGACTTTACAGGCTCTTTTATTCACCCCCACCACTGCAGTGCGTAATCGTGAAGTCTTTTTAGTTAAATAGCTCATGAATGATGCATTGGCAACTACACTAGTCAACTCTGAACTCGGGACTAATTGATGATTGCTCGCAAACAGATGTTGGCCCAATTTGAACCACGGTTGTTAGTAATTATTTGATAAACAACAGGCTAATATGCTAATTGTTACCAGCTGTCAATGAGGTTACTTGGTGTGTTTACACTCCAGTTACAGTAAGACGCTCGACTTCACCTGTCCCCCCAAGGGCCTGACTATTCACCACCACCCCCCGACTACAAGGCAAACCTACACCCCTTTCCGAAAAGGTCGCCTGCTTTGCACAATACACATCATTACCTTGTTCAGTTAGCATAACATAATCAACCGGTTTTAGTGACTGCCAACATATGCACATGGACACAACAGTAAACAATGGATGCCTTGTGCACATTTCTTTTGCTGAACAAGTGGATTTCCTCCTCTTCTTACTGTTTTGGTTTCAGCCTCCCTCAGGAATGTTTTTACCGGGGCACATTCCTCATTCTCAGCTCATGGCTTTCCATGGTGTCTCAGTTTTGTTGGCCAGGACCTGGTGCGTTTGGATGGCTGTGTCACACAGAGAAATAGGCTTCCCCAGAAATCAGTCAACACAGTGGTAGAAAAGCATCTTGAAAGGACATTTCTCTCGCAAAGACTGCAGCACATCTGATGGTATGAAGATGCAGAAGTCCAGTCACAGCCAGGACTTCAAACTCAAATAAACAGAAATGTCGCTATGGATGATGTGGCAGACAAATGTGTGCTTGTATATAGTGCACATGCGTGTCTCTGTGTGTGCATGTGTGTGTTTGCTAAACCTGCCAGGTGGGGGCCCCTGGAGTACCCTGACAAGAACCATTAAAGTTTATAAGCGTGAGGCCCAGCTGTCAATCAAGCTGACAGGCTGCCCCTGTCCAACCCTGCTCTGAAGTAAACCCCACGGAACCCCAGAGAACCCCTGACCCTGCTCTGACAGGGAGCTGCATTAGTACGGGCTGGGCAGGGCTGAGCTGGGACTGGCTAGGGTTATGGTGAAAAATTGGCAGCTGTAGTGTGAAGGATTGAGAAGTTTTGACTGAAAGATTGATGGTTTAAGTCCCCAGAGTGGCTGGGAAGTTTTGGGATGGGAGTGGTGAATAAGCACCACTGTCACTCTCTTAGCCACATTCAAGGTAATCTGGTGGGGCTGAACCTCGAAGTTCTCTAGGAGACAATCTCCATAGCTGGGAGCTCTGGGCAGCTCCCAGGTGTGTTTGAGTGGAGCTCTTTGATCAGGTATTGGACCAAAAATAGCCTTGCGTTAAAAAAAACTCAAGGGGCTTTGTTGGTGTGGGTGTGTTGCTTCATGATCTACATTACACCATTCAATTTAGAAAGTAATCTACTAGGAGTGTGCTCTTGCAGGTATACTTGCTCAGCATCTTTTTGGCATATTTTGCTGAACTTTTTTTTGCTAGATGCCTCTGCGCTATTGTCAGTCTGAACACTTATGATCAGAGCTGAAATGACATGTTTGCTTCAAGTGGTTTACAGAAAATGGTGATCATACCATACAAAGCAAGTGCTTTGTCATAAGATATCAAACTAACTGCTTAAGGCAATAGAAACAGACTAATGGCTACCAGATAGGTGTCTTTTGAGCACCACTGTTTTTGGAAAGAGCGCTCTGGGAATAAGTCCTAAAACATGAAAATGAGTTTGCATTTTAGCACTCCTGGTTCCCTTGTCTCAGAGTCAGTAGGTTTTTGTTTGAATGCCTGATATAAGGTCTGTAGTTAACACAAGCTGAAGAGACTTTCACGTTTTGTTCTATGACATAAGATACATCGTTAAACAACCCACTCACAGATTTTTATAGTTTTCATGTGTCTTGAAAAAGGCGGATGCTAACAAGTGGCTAAATGAGACTACAGAATGTCATCATGCAGAACACGGCTTTACAGTCTTGTTATGGTGGTATTGTCAAGTCATGCGACCATAGTGTAGTTTGTTGATGGCCCAACGTTAGCTTTTTACATCTGGCGATTGCATTTATGCTTCAAAAGTCATAAAAGGGGTGTTTATCCATGAATATTGTCTTGCTGAACAAAACGTGTAAGTATCATAAATGTTTGTTTACCACAGAGCTTATTTTCTAATCCAAATAATCCAAAAACCAATGGAAAAATCCCATTGGCTTTTTAACAAGGGAACCAGGACGTCAGCCTATAGAACAATGTCATCGCTGGAGCACTCTATAGCATATTACAGGAGGTTATCTGACATGTCTTGCTGTGGTAAACAGACCACACCAAGATGTGTCTCACTGGATTAATGTAATGTTTGGCTAACAACAACAATCACTTTCAAACAGACAACTGATTAAATTGTGGAGATACAGTATGTGGAATAGGCAGACTTGTTTATTTCTGTGTTTCTGTTGTCATTCTCAGCCGTAACTGTATTGTTTGAAGATACATAGTTAACACTGTGGTACAACCTTTCCAATGTTTTTGCTGTGACTACTGTTTTGAGTCTTGTAGCCACCTAAAAAAAGCAATATCAGTTTAAGTGTATGCTATATTTGGAATATTTTATCCACTTCACTTTACACACCAACCATTGGAGGCAGCAGTAGACCAGCAACTCCAGTTTTCAGTAAAATTACTGTTTTCGTCAATGGAGTCTTGTTGGTTTGAGATAACAGTTTCAGTTCCCCATCGGAAAAGGGCTATCTGATGGCAAGATAAAGCTGTGAAAATATTCTAAAAATAGCATACACTTAAGCAGATCTAGATTTTTTTAGTTGGGTTTTTTTTAATGGCTAAAAACTAATCAATTCAGGCAACCCTAGCTCAGCACTGTTTCATTTTATGAACATGATGTGGGGATTTTCTACCAGGAAGTTATTGTGAAGAAATATTGTGATGTGGACTTTATTACAAATATAGCAAGAATGCTCATTTTGCAGGCCAAACTACCCATTTTGTCTGAGGGCTGATTGTAACTGTTGGAATGTGAAAAAATAAGGTTGGGTTTGAGTGATTGCATGGATAAATTATGGAACGATAGAGCGGTTGATGTAGTTCTGAAAGTTGTCGTGTCTGTCTTGCAAATGAGGCAATTATACTCCACCGCTGGACGTTATGAGCAAATAACCCTATATAAAGATATACACGCAAACTATACTGTATGTGAGTCTGTGTGCACACACCTCTGTCTACTCTTGTGTGCATTATGTAGCCTGTCGTGCCACAGCAGGATTAAAGTATCCCTCTCCCCAGACTGCCTCTTCCCTCAGCCCCCGCTGACCCCTCCCACACACTATTTGTTTTAATTAAAAGAAAACTTCCAGCCTTGGCCAAGCGAGTCCGACCGATGGTGACTTTTTCCTCTTCTCTCTGGCGTTCTGCTCCCAAATCTCAGGCCAAACCTTTTTTCTTTTTCTCTATGTCTCTCTTTACACGTTTCTCAGTTGGTCCTTTATTCTGTTGGGGTTACAATGGAGCAGAAAAGGGATGCTTGTCGTCTGTGTTGGAATGTAGAGCTGATTGGGCCTGTTTGACAAAATGGGATAAGAAAGTGTCGTATGTGCAGTCGGCCAAAGGGGAAATTGAATCATTCCGGGTTGGGAAGGCACGTTAGGGAATAGCCCTGTTTCCTCCGAATTGTGGCTTGGAGAGCTTCATAGGCTTAACTGGGCTCCCTGAGGTGTGTGTTTCTTTGAGTGTGTGTGTGTGTGTGTGTATGAGTATGCATGTATGTATGTGTCTGTGTGAGCAAGTAGGTTTCCATGTGTATGCATCTGTGCACGCCAGTATGTGTCCTTAGAGTGGGACACAGTACAAAGCACACATTGTAGTTTTGTGTCAAAGAGTAGCAAAGCTCTCAGTGAGTGGGAGGAGGTGTGCATCTGCAGGCCTATTTTCTATTGTGTCAGCAGCTCGAGCTTGTTCCCCACCTCTTGGAGTGATTCAACACCGGGCTGTGGTCCACATTCAAAAGTGATCCCTTAAACCAGGAGGGAACAGCATTAGTTCAAGTGAGGTTTCTGCCGTGATTTGGAGCAGCGTTTCTGAACACCTGTCAGTCACATTCATAAAAATACATATCCAGCCATGTTCTCTAGTTAATGCTCCTAGCCGATGTTCCCAGTAGGCACAGGTTCGGTGCCAAGTTTTTTTGCCCTGCAGCAGTTACAATTCAGCATAAGTGTCTTAAATGATCTCAAAGATGTGGTCGGTGGATACTGTAAATCACTATTGGTAGAAAAAGTTATGCAGGAAATGTGTTTTGATGTTTTGCTTTATTATTTTGTTGTTGTTTGTTTCAGTTGGACCCCATTCCTGATGAGGTGCTGCAGCAGAGACCGAATGCCAACGCTGTCCAATCTATGGAGAAAGTTCTTGAAATACAAAGTGAGTGGATTTCACACCTAGAGCTAACATGCATCAGCAGTTGTGTGATTGTATTTTTTTTCATGTTATTGTTACTATTAATATTCCACATTTAAAACGAGCCACGGCCATCAAATTTCTTAGCACTGATGTGATCCAGTATGCACAGTGACTGTTCTAACTTGATTTTTACCCTGTCCTGGTGTTTTGTAGGTAAATACTGGCGCTCACTGCAGCGCTCGGCCTCCACACTTGGTTGCTCGTTGAGTGAAGCCCTGCGGCGTGAAGCAGAGGAAGCTGAGACCGTCTCCGCCATGGCCTCATTGTCTGTGGCCAACAAGCACATTGGAAAGAGGTACACAAGTTTATATATGTGTAGTAGTTCTCAGTAATCGGTTAACCTTCATAGTTACTGTACGGACATAAGAGTGGTATCAATCTTCTCATGTAACTCTTGTCAAGGAATCAAATAAGCATATATCCCAAAATGTCAGACTGTTAAAATATTAGACCCCCTATGACTTCAATTCATCTTAAATTTTTTTATTTTTCGTTCACTGTGGAGGGATGTAAGAAAAATGTTTTCTCAATGAGTTCAACGTAACACATAGTGATATATTGACATACAAATGGTCATTTGCTAGATAAAGTATTACTTTAAAGTATACAGTCATGGTTATGTAAGAGAATAACATTACAGCATTGTTTTTTTTCCCCAGGGCTGAAGAGGAACCAATGGAAGAGGAAGCTACTATGTAAAGAAACATCCCTAGCCTTTGACCACTCAGACCAGTCTACATCTTTGATAGTGCCCTCGTCCAGTCAGTGTCCATTTCAATGCCACTCCTATGTCTAACCCCTGCCACACCAAAATGGCATCTTATTAAGGGAGAGAACAAGCTGAGCTGGCAAAAGTGGCGCTCAAAGGAAATGGAACACTGAAGATGAGCGATGCGTTCTCTGATCAGCAGTGCACAGACTGATCAGCATAAATGTGTTGCATTGTCTCTTCAAGACCTTGGATATAAGAGGATTGACTCAACCATCCCACAATGACAGCCTTGAGTGCCAGTGCTTTTAAAACACTAGACAAGATGTACTTTTTAAATGCCAGTCAGAACCATAAACGGATGATCCGTCGTCATTGACTTTTCTTAATGTTCTGTTCATTCTTTATCTTCGTCATCACACTTTCATCAAAAACCACCAGAGCTAACGTGATTGTGACTCTGCACTTCGGATGAATCATTCCTGCTCTTTTTAAATATCTGGATGAATGGAACAGTGTGGTTGAATTTCTTGCGGTTTTCAAGGTGGGTGAAGATTTCAGATGAGGAAAGGTCAGCAGGTGTTCTAATTCCAAAATGACTGACAGTGAAAGACTGTGCATTCGTGCCTTTTTCTTTTCAAACCTGGTGGATTTTCTGTTGAACTCTACTGAAAGAGCTTTGCCTTAAAAAACAGGTTTGGGAACGAGGCCTCTTCTCCCCAATCCCTTAAACATTTCTATCCTGGCAAGACATCCAATGCCTGCATGTTGTTGGCACATAGACTGGAGGACCTTGGCATGTTTACCTAAAATTCCCTGCAAGCAGGTTTCTGTCTCTCCCTGTACCTCCATCTTTCCTTTTTCCCCCGTCATTTAAATAATTTTATTTCAGAAGGTAGTTCCCAACCACAAGTTGGAAATGGTTCAGTTTTCAGGAAAGTTTCAGGTTTAGTGTTACTCAGTAGAGCGATGTATCAGATACAGTCCTGTAGCCAGAGGTAATGTCTTGAAGGGCGAGGTGTCCGCACCTGAGGATTTTTCATACATCGCAGTGGATGCAGCAATCCTTAATCAGTGATATCAATTTCTTATTACTTGAAAATCAATTTACGGAGATTTAGAAGTGGGTAATGGGGAGCCATATGTGTCCCCTTGGCAACAGGCCTGATCAGCAGACTCAAATGGCATCTGCAGATTTTTTTAACAGTTTTCAGCAGTGATTCAGGATGATAATCTGCAGACTTCTGTGGAATGTTTTTTTGTTTGTAAAGTAATAGACAATAGTCATTTGGAAAAGAACTGCGGAGATGTTGTGTTGGCCTGCTGATAAGATAGGCATCAAGCAAAGACTCATGTAGCATGCACTGTACTAGAACAACAGGACTTATGAAAACTACAAACCTTTTCATACTGTGTGTATTTAGACAGTAATGAAGCCAAAGCATGATGGACTTTGATCTCTGTAGTATCAAACCACTTCATTTCTACATTAGAATTAGTCACACTTTTTGTCAGATTAATGAGATGAGAGGAATTAATCTCATATGGGCCAATTTGTTTCAGCAGCCCTCTCTTTATGACAACTGTGTCTCTGCGGTTACAATGGCTGAACCACCTGGGATTTTCCACAGGGGTGTTCCTGGGCTGCACAGGCTCTCACAGCTGGTTTAACATCTTTAGTCCCTTGTTAAGCACATCTGCTGCCCAAATGTCAGGTGCTGTGAGGCAGGTGTGTGTATATCTGTTCACATACACTGAAGCACAAGCTGCTCTTTATAAATATTCAAGTGCACACATATATTTTTCTAGTTGTTATTCTTTATTAATCATCCTTTTCTATTGAGCAGTGACCCAGCCAGTGGGAAACGCCCATGCATTATGAGTATCCTTGCAACTTTGAATAACACATGTAGCTCAGATTCTGTATCCTGCATTTTACTACATCGGAATCTTTTTAAATCAGGTATTAGCTTAATATTTAAGAAGATAGAAGTGAAAGATCGGCTTGTTGCATTGTACACTGAGCTTAATGAATTTGTGCTCTGCACTGGCTCTTAATTTAAACTTAACCCCGCTAGCAAGACTATACAACTCACCAGCCACCAGCCTAGTTGTAAGTAAATTTAGTTGTCCATTTTGGCCAAAGGCAAATGTGCTACAATGGCCCCAAACATTTCCATTGCTAAATGCATGCTGCAGCTTTGGAAATGACGATTCAAAACCCGAAAATCCAAAACAAATTGGATTTACAACAACAGAAAATGTGATTCAAATGAAAAAACAAATACATGAACAGCAAACACGCTTCAAACTCAGAAATAATGCAAAGGCTTAATCACACAAACCTGAAAAAACAAATGCAACAGTAAAACACTGCACAATCAGTTAACATGCTGGAAGTTAACCAGGCCTCCAGGGGAGCGTTAGATGGAACAACCTGATTTTTAACCAGAGCCACAGAGTTACGTAAATTTGTTGCTCTTTTATGATATCATACACGGCTAAGGCCAACTGCCAAAAAAGAATCGTACCTTTTAATGTCACGACTTTATTCCACTTTTCTTTCTGCTTCAAAAACAAACACAGTCTCGTGTGTGGTCTGTTTCCAGGGCTGGAAGTTAAGCTGTTCCACTCAGCGCTCCCCCTGGAGGCCATTGAACTTCCATTATGTTGACTGGATATGCAGCATTTTTCTGTTGTATTTGTTTTTGGTGGTTGTGTGTTTTTGGCTCTGCATCATTTCAGATGTCTTTGTTTTGGCTTTCTGCAGCACGTTTTGCATTCGCAGCACTTTTCCATTGTTGTATTTGTTTTGGATTTCTGTACGTATTTTTGAGTTGGCATCATTTCTGAAGCTGCAGCACGTTTCACCGATTGGAAAAGTCCGGGGTCGTTGTAGTGTGTCTGCCCTTGTCGGCCACTGAAGCTTTTGTCCTTTTCACAAAGAAAAAAATACATGTACAAGATTGATAAAACAGTCAGTGTGCAGAAGTAAACCTCTGTCTGCAACCATTTCTCCAGCTTGTGTTTGGCCCCTGGGCAACTACCTTCTCTTACCTTTGTTTCATCTACAAGCTAATCATGTTTAATGTATTTTTGCAGTGAACAGGAAACAGAATGCTGTGGTGTTTACTGTTGTTTACTGTACAAAAGGCCGTTGATCTCCTGAGTATTCCTGCCACACACATTTGTCAATGACTACTCTACTTTAGTTGATTCTCTTGCCCCTCATCCGTGTCTTTTTTTGTTTTGGTTTTGTTGCCCTTCCAGTGGACTCCAGTGACTTCTTTTGTACTTTTTTAATGTTGTTTTGTTCATATCCCCCTGTCTGTGTCTCTGTTACATTGTAAAGCTGACATACTTCACAACAGGTGAGGGTTCAGAGTCTGTTTTTAGTGGACATCACATGACTGTGTTTTCTGGGTTCAGGGTTTTTGTGGGAGGGTCGGGGTGCAAATGTTTCTACTTTGTATAACGATGGACAATTGTGTATTTACTGTCTGTTCATAGTAGATTTATATATGAAAAGAAATGAGTATATTATATATATATATATCTACATAATGAAATACTATGATCTTGTTTTTGAAGTTGGTATTGAAATGATACACTTAATGGGCCTTACATACAGTCGGCTCTTTTTAGGGTGTCACTGAAGGCACCATATACTGTCCTTGGTTAAAGCTGGTTACGTGTTCTGTAGCATTTTACTGGTTGTCTTTTTATCTTTCAACACTGATGATTAGTTTTTGGCTTTATCCATCCCATTCCCTCATAACACTGTTACAGTAGGTGTGCTCAGCATCACATGTCATTTTTATTTTTTGTGTAGATATTGTAGAAAACCACACATTTTGGCCAGCACCTATAAGTATTTCAAGAAATGTGAGACTAAAATTCAAATTGGGATTCTGCACGTCTCAAAAGTGGCCAAAGTGGTGATCTGTTTCTTCCTCTTTCTTAAAGGTTTACAAGTTCATCTTCAACAACAGGAAAAAAAAGAGCAAGAAAAATGGGATGGGTGGATTTGAATTGGAACATGGCCATGCTATTTCCCCTACATTAAATCACCATCATCACTTATTTCCTTATCTGGCCAAACATCTTTAATTTTAATTTAACTTAACATTTCTTAGAATTCCTCTCATCCGCATGTGTAATCTGGTTCATCAGCTAAGTGATGCCTTGGGTTTCAGGGTGGCCTGTTGTTTAGCAAGACCGTCCTGTATCCAAAGGGTCGCAGGTGTTTGATCCCTGAAAGAGCCCACGTCAGGACCAATGATTTTTTAACAATTTCTATGTCTCACAGGAATATATAAGAAAAGAGTATAAGGCCATATGCATATTGAAATTTCCTAAAATCTTGATCAGACTTGCCAAGAGCAAACTTTCTCACTTTGACTGAATGTATCTGACCTCTACTGGCAGAGTGATGCTGCATCTCTCTGCAGAAGCACCGCTTGGGTCACGTGTTCCTAAATCACCTCCATGGCATTCTTTTCCATGGTTTCTGCAAATAGCCAGAGAGGTCAAAGTTTAGACTTTTTTATGCTTGTTTCATCTATCACCGCTTGTAAATTAACGAAATAAATTTAGAAAACTAAGGTCTAAGCATTTGAAGAAGGGCATCACATTTTTACTTTTTTCTAGTATGGTTTAAACTCAGCCGTGTGAAAGATAAGTCATTTTTCTATACATTCCCTTTATATCAGACACCTACACAAACAAACACAATTTTTTGTAATTTTGAAAAGATTCTTTTTCAGGACTTTCTTCCCACCATTCTGATGCTTCATGCAAATATATGTATATGTGGTTGGAATATGAAAATGCATACAGCGAGGCTATCATGAGTATCACCTTTGCTATGATACGCTGACATCTCTGGGCATGCAAACACACTTGGTGAGATGCTTTTTGGTAACCAAGCCCAGAACATTCCCAGAACCTTTGCACAGCAGTGCCAGTCATGGGGTTTCTACTGCTGAATGCTTTGGTTTCTCAAAAGGAGCCAAGACTAGCACTGTCTGGCCACTCTGGCCGTCTGTCTTCACTGTTAGTCTTAACACAATGTCCAGTAATGAAAAAAACCCCCAGCAACATTCCATTTTGTTATAATTTCCATTTATTAGGAGGGGCCATATCTTTTTGTTTTAGCCCTCATAGTTCGGTCCAGCCAGGTCCAAGAACTGTCTGTTTATTTAGGCGGCCTGGTCCGACTCCACTCCATTCCTTTTTTTCTCTCTGCATGATCTGTATGTCCGCATGCACTGCCTACCTGCTTGTCTGTCTGTCCCATACCACATATCAGCACAAGGGATCGAGCACTGAAGGACATTAGTACTTTCACTGTATCCAAACTATCTTATCTCTTTTACTGCTTTTTTTGTTTCTGCTGGGGAGGAGTTTGGTTGTTGTGCTTTTACCTGTACATGTAGGATTTGGAGTCATCAAACCCTGGAAGACTTCTGTTGAATATTTTACAAAAAAAAAGAAAAAAAAAGGTATCTAGCACTTGTAACACAGACAATAGATTTTATTGTATTTATGTAGAAAAACAAATTGTTTTAGGGGACGCTTTGTAAACTGCGACAACAGAATGGACAAACTTTTTTTATATACCAGGCAGGATGTGACTTTGGTGGACTTTTGGGAAGACATTTTTTGTTCTTTGTCACATCTGGACTTATCAAAGGGCTCCATTCAGGTGCCTGGTCATTGTTACGGTTGTCCATTCCACTAAATAAGCCAGTTATTGCTATGACCACTGTGGTTCAAAACAAACAGTTCTAGGTTTACATATGTATAAAATGCATATTCTTTTTTTATCAGTTATGTTTTTGACTTGTTCCACCATTGTTACAGAAATAGTACATTTTTTCTCGGGAACCTTTGCTCTAACATGTTGTCTTTGACATCTACGATATAAAGTATTGTTTTGGAAAAACTGCAATGTCTGGTTTTTATCTTAATAGTGTTGGTTGCTGGTTTAAATTGCAATGAAAAGGCTTATTCACTGTCAGAGAAACGTGTCTCACTGTCAGACATGAAGGCAGATGTCAATAAAAATCAATGCAGCAGAACCAAAGATATCTGGCGCGTTCCAGTACCCAACATAAATTTAGTATGCCAGAAAGAGGTTAGTATGTCCCAGTACATAGTGTGTCGAATGCAGTATGCCAAAAATACCAGGATGTCCTCCTGCATCCGGTCGTGTATATGCAAGTCAGCCTGCTTTTCTGGCTGTTCTGACCTACAGTCCTCTGTGCAGCAGTAGATTTGTCACATCGACTGAGCCACAGACAGATGTCAGCTCAAGCTATGGGTATATGAACAAGACAGCCAAAGTTCAATCCACAATGTAATGACGAAGTACTATGTCCAAATTGTATGCACACTACATGAAACAGGATGTACTTTGTAAGGGCAGGTGCAGTACGTACTGAAAGTAAAAAGATAAAGTGTGCGATCTGGAATGCAGTGATCATCTTTGTATGCCTCCACGTCAACAGCCGTAGGTGGAGGCATTATGTGTTTGGATTGTCTGTCCAATGCTTGTAAACACGGTATCTCAAGAACGTCTCAAGAGAATCTCTCAAATTTGGCACAAATTGCCACTTGGACTCAAGAATGAACTGATTAGATTTTAGTGGTCAAAGGTCAAGATCATTACGATCTTACACTTGTCTCGTTCTTGTAAATGCAATATCTCAAGGACGCCGTGAGGAAATTTCTTCAAATTTGGCACAAATGTCCACTTGGATTGAAGAATAAACTCAAGAGAATTTAGTGATTGAAGGTCAAGGTCAGTGTGATCTTATAAAACATGTTTTTGGTCATAAATCAAGAATTCTTCCATAAATTATGACAAGACTTCACACAAATGTCTAAAAGGATAAAATGGTGAAGTGATGATATTTTATATCCAAAAGGTCAACTTCACTGTGACATCATAATGTTCTGCATAAAACACTTCTCTGGCCATTACTCAACCTCACATCTCAGGACCAGAAGGGGGACATATTTGAAGCACTGTCAGCTGTCATGGGTATGACTTTATGTTCTGTCTTGATCCTCTGGTAGTCCACCACAAGCTCATTGGTGTTGCTGATACTGAGTTTCAGGTGATTGATTGCACTTTGCGATGAAGCACTTTATCAGTCCTCTTGTCTCCTCTGTAGAAATAGTCTCGAAGTAAAGACAGCCTGTTTCCCACTGGAAATCAATCATACATGTCAATATAGTTATGATGCCAAGAAACACACCTAATAACTTTTATTAAATTCCTTCAAAGGCTTCACTACATTTATTATGTGAGTCTGGACAGACATGGATGTAAACAGCAGCTTACAACATACAACTGCGATGTGAGGCAGTATTTCTAGTTTTTTTATCTTGTAACTTGAAGTCTTCTGACCTAACCGACAAGATATCACCTGAGGCAATTTATCAGGCTTTGTGAAGCTCCATCTGGAGAAAAAGGTCTTTATACAACTTTTTTTACATGCAGTGGTTCTCCCCAGGAGCTGCAAGCAGACCTTGAGGTGTAAAATTGGTGGAGTTCACCTTTAAATCCAGAGGGAGGCAGCATTGTAGGAATGGGCCCCACAGTAGCTTTGGCTGGGATTAGCCACCCATTTGGAAAGGTCAAAGGTTTGAGCTAGTGTCCAAATAAACAGCAGTGAATCCCTGTTGGTGGTGGAACTAACGCTAAGACAACAGTGCAAAGGCAAACAAAACCAATCCTGCCTTACCTCCCCTCAAATAAACACACATTCCACTGCTTTCCTGTCAAACTTTGAATTTAGAGAGTAACAGTATAAATACCACCACTGCCTTAGGCTTTGTAGGCTTGTCACGATCTCTGTAAATCATGGAGGCTTGAGACACCATGCAGTGTCAGAGGCAAACGAAACGGAGCACATCTCTGGTTCTTTGAGAGAATAAGGTTAAACAGAGACATGAGGGACAATATTTACTCTCATACAGATGCTGAAAAGAGCTCCTATGGCTCCCAGGAGTAAAAGGGGATGACGTTAAATCTGGGAATGTGACCTCTTTATGGTTCCTTGGTGGCTGTGGATGCTCCAACGACCACGCTCGTGACACACAGACTGCCCGTCTCACCTTTAGCTCACCGTAGGCGTCGACACATTCGTCATCTCGGCTATGTAGCGATGCAGGACCCCTGAGTAAGGTCAGGTCAGAGAAAAGGTGGAGCCCTGAACTTTCCCCCTTCTCAGAGGCCAGCCCACAAGATGGCCGCTTCTTCACCACAACAAAGGGCTGAAATGTCAGTACGGATTGAAATCTGGGAAAACCCCCCTATCTATTTTCCCTCTCGCTTCCCCACAGTGACATTCTGGTGTGCGGCAGCTCTCTTGCCTTGCTCATCTTCTTGCAGCGTTGGTCGTTGTCACTAGCTCTGTCATTACCCAGCCACCCGTATGCGTAAAAAAGACCTCATCCTCCCAGCTGTGCTCATCACCGCGCTTTTTAATTGCAGGTTTGACTGACTCAAAATGGCGATGAGGCTTTGGCCAGCTGCTCGGATGACAAATAACACTAATTACAGATGACAGTCATTAGAATCAGTTTTGGATCATCAACACACAGGCAAGCAAAAACGTTAGGTGTATTTAAAGAGCTGTAAAAAAAAAAAAAAAAAAACATATGATGGAGGATCCAAGAGGTGGCCCAGTCAAGTAAACCCGATGAAACGTCTTGGAAATTCTTTGGCAAGGTCTTAACATTAGTCGGTTTGTAGCAGACAAAATTTCAATTCAGTATTTAATCTTCAGTTTCCCTCAACTTAAGTTATTCCAAGCATGGATTTGGAAACAATGAAAATGCACGAGGGAGTCTCTGACCGTTTGCTTTTCTTTCCATTGGATGTTCCACCAGTCCAGTCGGGACTTCTGATCCATAGTGTATTTGAAAAGCTGTGCAGGGTTTGCTTGTCTTGCTACTGTATGTGTTAAGTCTGGTGTTGAGGGTGCACGTGGACATCAAAAGGACGAGGACACGCGAGGCTAAGAGGTGTTGCAAACAGGCTGGGTCACAGTCAGCTCTGACATCAAGAGTACAAGTGGCAGTCCAAAGTTCACTCACCATGATTGCTATGCTGAATCTTGAAGATCCACAATGAAGCATATAGAAAAATGGATGTGCTGTTGTGTTGATTGTGATTATGGGCAAACTGCCACCTCTAATAAACCATATCACAACTGCAGGAAAAGAAGGATAAAATGAAAAGATGGTATGGAAAACATAAGAAACAAATTACCATGTTAGATAGTGAATGGTGTTCCCCTCAAACCAGCACGACCCAAAGTGATCAAAATATATTCTATTTGTAGATTTTTTCAGAACTATTCAGCATGTTCTTTTATTTATTTTATTTTATTTTATTTTATTTGTATTTTAGAGTTGAATAGATAGTGACTACCCCTGACATGAGGTCACTTTGGGTCCATTTCTTTTCTCTGCCTCTATATATATAGACTGTATATAAAGATGGAGGATGTATCTCCATTTACATCCACTGTATGAATATGAAGCCAAAATATTCCAGATATAGCTGCTGCCATCTTGTGCTGTTGACGTCATTTGGAGCCAGAGTCTGTGGGGTAGCAGTCTCTGCTGAGTTCAGGCCCATACACCTGTCGGACCAATTGCAAGCAACATCACTGATCGCAAGCACGCCGATTGGCACATACAATCATGACCTCAAACCCCCATTTATAGCATCAAATAATGAACTGAAACCACCCGTATCAGGAAAACCAACAATTAAACGTACATCTAAAATGTCAGTAACCATCTTTGGGAAAAAATTATTTGGTGTATACTTTGATTGTTTAGTTTGGCCCATGTCCCATCTGTTAACATGGAGGGGGCGAGGATTATAACCAATACTGTAGCCAGTCACGGGGTGACTGAGATGTTTTGGCTAAGCGGCAGCCCTCAAGACTGAGAATTGAAGCCAATATGGAAACATCACAAACTGCTCTTCATCTAACGGCCAACTGAGGCTGGCTCCAGAAGTCAGTCAATCCCCATAGACTTCCATGTTAAAATGCCCAACTTTACAGCAGAAATAAACGTGTTTACAACCTGGCACAAAAGACAGTTTTGGTCTCTAAAGCTGATTTCAACATTCATGATAAATGTACAGGGGGTGAGTTTTTCTATAACTCACCCATTTACATTTTATTAAGACAAAAAGTTATGCATATTTAAGGGCAGAGATGCTTGATTGACAAGCTGTCTGTGAAATGTTGCTGCAGTCTTTGAGTCAGATCCACCCCTCGTTCCTCCACAGCTCTTTCATCTCATCCCAAAATGGTCACTTCTTGCTCCATAGAGATAAAATGGACACTGTCAAAATGCTGAACTCGAAGCCTCAACACAGCAGTCCACATACCAATTAGTGGCATCGCGGTAGCTATGTCCATTATTCATACAGTCTATGGTTCTGGCTTTATTTTTGAGGAGCTGTCATGTCATCATGTTTATATACAGTCTATGGCTGTACACTTGCCAGCATGTGTTCTGATGAATGCACTGCATGGTCTTCGTCACTGCGTGGAACTTGTCCAGTTGTCATGGAGATGGACTTGATGAAGATCATGTGATTTGGTCAAAGGCTTGAAAAAACAGCTAGTAAGTGGACCTTGAGTTGGATTTTTTTGTGAAAAAACAAACAAACAAACAAAACTAATGGTTGTATAAGTGATCAAAGGTTGATAGGCAACTGCCTTTTATTGTATTTCGTGTCTTTGTTTGCTCCTCATAAACATGCCGTAGCAGCACTGTTTGATTGATGTTTTTACATTAAAGATGAGGTTGCATGGTTTGGCATAAAAGCCCTGTCATTGTTTGTAAGTGGCTTTTGTTTGTTTTGAACCCTGCCACTAGGGGGTTCATCAGACAGCCCAAACCACT